CCTATTTTCATCAGAACACTGACCTTCTTGCCTCTCCTGCTGAGATTGATCAATTAGAATATTGTAATTGATAACAACACCTGCCCGTGTATTTCATAAATGCTTCAGATAGTTGAATATATGACATGAATTTGACCCCAAACAAACAAAAAAACCACTTTATCAGCACTTTCTGTCCTTGTTCTGTGATAACCATAGCAGCAAGACTAGAGAAGTGCTGCATCTCATATCCTCAGGAGAATCTGCCAGTCTCAATACTTTTTACTTATGTTGGTGTTGTCCACAGATGCCAAGAGAGTATCACCACATATTTCTTCTGAGCCTTCCCTATATGCAGCTCATGACAGTAACACATGGCAGAATCTTATGGAAAAAGACTGTGAGAGGCCACTCACATGCTTGGACTATCCAGTGAGACTTTAAAATATGCTGGTGAGTAGGATTCAGGTTCCTTCTTCCCCTGACAGCAGCACCTCTTTCCACCTCTGCTCTTCCTGCTGTCAGTCCTGCAACAACCCCTCAGCCCTTGCTGGCAGGAGGTCAGCACAGCTCAGCTCCAGACTGGGCTGCTTACTGTTGAGGTCAGTTGTGCAAGTAGGGCATGGTAAACCTCACTGACAACAACACTCTGTCTTGTGAAACCTAAACAGTTGAAGTATTCAGGGGGAGTAATATGGTCTGTACAGAGACTGAAAGTCATTCTGGGGTTCGCTTTCTTGGTCAGAATGAAGCTGTTGGTGAACCTGAGGGTTGGAAGTCAGAGTTTTGAGCTGTTGTGTACCATAATAAATCTTTTTAAAATATTCACTGAAGAAAGAACTTCCTTTTGGAACACGCGTTATTTACAGGCTGAATTCCATGTTGAGGTTAATATTCATAGCTACTGTGAATCTTTTAAGGAGAACAACCTCTAACTTCAGTAAGGTACAAGGCTCTAATAACACAATACTTGCAGATGTTGGACAAAATGTGTGGTAGTCTTTTTTTCTTGTTCTTGTAGCCAGTGCATGGCCAAGAAAGAAATATAAAATGAACTACACCTGTGCTGATGCCAGTAATCACAGATTGCATAAAAAGTAGATGGAGTATCTTTTTCCTGGGGTAATCTCCTAGCTGACTGCTTGTTTTCCTATCATTAGCTGTTCATTACTTTGGGTTTTTTTCAAGCTTCATATACATAGGAGAATTAGCAACCTGACAGTTCCATAAAAAGCCACAATAATGGTATGTATTATATGCAACTGATTTATTTCCTTAATATATTATCAAGCCCACTTTAGCTGTATTTGTAGAGACACAGTGACACCTAGTGGTTATTAATAAATATAAAAGACTGACCCATAATTTATTTGAGGGACTGAATCTGATCATTAACTAAACTAGCTCATATGCATTCAAGGATCAGAAAAGTTCCAGTGTATGCTGTTCATTGAAAAAAACCGTGATTCAATACCTGTTTCTGTTTTATATATTTTATTGATGCTCCCAAATTAAAAGAAAATAGAAATACATAAAACTAATCTTACAAAGCAAAGAATAATAGAAATGTCATAAGTTTTCATCTTTTTAGTTTAGGAATTCCGTACATTCCTCTGAAAAATTCCTTCAAGAAAAGAAAACCCTGCACCTGTGGATTCTACCAGCTTCCCACAATCACATGAAGTTAAACTAATGTTTTCACAGAACCCTTGCTAAATAAAGTCATATTGGCTCAAGGACAACTCAAATAATTAGCTGTTTTCATTTGTCACAAAATCTTTGCTAATCAAGTCTGTAGAGAAAATATGCTCTGTTGTCTTTAGGCAGTCTTTAGGATGGTTTACATTCAATTTATTATTCCATCTTTATTTTAGCATTTTGGATAGCAAATCTGCTCTTACAGTTGACAGTGTGTGAAGTCCTCATCATATTTTAAAGAACAAATTTGATTTTGCTCTGCCTCTGAAGTGTAGATTGAAATTTTATTATGTTGGGTTTTTTTTTCAGGAGTCAAGTAAGTCTTGAAAATGGAAACTGGGTGCAAGGCTTACTGAAAAAACAAATTGCTCTTGCATCATTTTAACATAAATAAGAAGTTTCCTCCTTGAAATTAAGTGAATACCGAGGAGTGATTGCCGATGTCTAATCTAGCAGCAGTAGAGTCATTGATGTAGAGCAGAGGCTCAGTAATTCAATTCCCTTCAATCTGAAACTTTTATTGAATCTTTGCTGAAGATCCACAGAGGTTATTCTTATGTTCTTATGGTCATCAGTACAGTATAGTAAGGACAGTTCTATGCCAGGCACAGACCAGCATTAGTACACTGCGAAAGACGAGGTTGTGCACGTTCAAGAGTCAGGGGAGGCGAAGGAGCAGCAAAGCAAAGGCTTCTCTGAAGACACCAGAGAAATTCTCACTGACATCAGCAGAGCATAACTGTGCATAACTCCCTCCGGGTGTTGGCCCAGGTGATTCATGCTGTTGCCCATCTGCCCCAAGGTTGGGGAAGATATATGCTTATGAATTGACTAATGGCACCCTGACTGTTGTGGTATATTTGTATGCTCACTCATCTTCCAGGCTGTTGCTTTAATGAAATACTTGGTTTTGTCCTAGAGCCTGAGGAAAAAAACTTCCAGTCACCCTTACTTCTTTTCATGTCGTACTGGAAAAAGTTTGCTTCCACCAATCACTGAAGTTCATCTTCTAATATATACATGAGAACCAGGGTTGTTTAGGCCTTTTTGTAGGCTTATCTGTGACCTGACATACCTTCTTGCCCTGAGTGCATGAGCTTCTGCTAGAATCTTCCACTGAGACACCATTGCTACCAGCTGCGTGGAGCTAGGTGCACTCCACATTTGTATCTTTGAACCTGGAAGTGGTCTGGGGTAATTTTGAGTAGAGAACCTAAGGAAATGTGAATAGAGCTTCTGAGGCCTCTTCTGTGCCATGAAGAAGGACTAGAAGCGGCTAGGTTTCTGCAAATGTCTCCAGATCAATGTAATTTCTCTCTGGATCCTGGAATGCTCATAGGCTTGAAGGGAAATAACCCTTTGCTGTTTTCCTTATTACATTTTTATAATTGTAGAAAAAAAAATCTGAGTTTTAACACTAACAGATCCATTATTGTTGTTACTTTTTTGCCTTTTGGTAGGTGGTACCATTTGATCCAAATCTTAAGCTAATTTTTGAGGTCCCAGTTTTGAAAGAATTTGAGCAGTTGCAGCTCCCACAAAAGTAACCTGATCATTCCTAAATCCCAGTCAAAATCTAGTTAAATACATTTTGTTAAAAATCTCTTTGTATTACAAAAAAAGGATGTCAGGAAGATTCATAGGAAAAAAGGGGAAGGGAGGAGAAACGAGTAAAGCTAAAGAAGAAAAGGAAAGAAAATGCAGAGGAACAAATTTAAAGAGCTGCTTGCCAGATGGGAAGGCATCTCTATGGTTAGAAATAGTCCCAACTTTATTTCCCCCCTGCTGAAACCCAGTATGTTTTCACACAGGAGGACTAACACAATAAGGACGTTAATACTCTTCTTGCGTGCTAGCTAGTTATTAGAGACTCACAGTGAGGAAGGTGATCAGAGAATACTTGTCACATGCCCAAACTACCCTAATTCAAGGAAACTGCCACCTCAGTGCATCATATGAGGCAGGTCAAGCCTAGGGTGAAGTAAGCTTTCCGTGTAAGAATTTTAATTAGCAATGAGTACAATAAAATACATAAGCTGCTGAAAGTTAACAAGTGCTACTGTTTGAGATTTATGCTCAAATACATGCTGTGTACTTCTCTTTCCTCACTGCTAATGGATTAGCAGTATACTGGATAGTAATCAACAAATATTACAATCATCCTTCTAATCTTATTAACAAACTTGTAAGAAGCATTAAGGACACATTTATACCACTTGTGGGAAACAGTCCAAATACAACGAACCAAAAGCTGCTTATCTACAAGCAAAACCAGCATTATATGACTGAAGGGGGTCAAGTTAATCAGAGCTATCAGGAGACTAATTCAGGTCCAGAGGGCTGGGAAGGCAGATTAAATGATCGTTCACAAATCATTGAAAGCATACACTATACTGTATTGTAGCAACAAACAATGATCTTCTGTAGGGTGCAGTTTCCTGCTTTCTATATATCTGTGTTTTGACAATTTAGGTATCTCACCAACATCTTTTTATCCTGAAGTTGTGAATGTGTAGTAATAGTGTTATAACTCAGCTTGTTAATCATCAGATCTTTAGGAAGGAAGGGCATAGACTATAAAAACAAACCTAAAATTGTTCATGTTTGTAGACAGCACTACTGTGCTTACTACAAGCATGCACAAAATATAAAAGAATATGATCCAACATATTGTGGAGGAAAACTGGGGAAAGCAACCGAGAGAATGTGAAAGATCAGCTTTATATGTCTCAGGTTCCTTTGCTTTATAGGATGGAGGGATGGACACTGCTGGTTAATTTTTCACTTAAAAAATATTTTATAGAGAAGTACTGAAATGTGCTGGTTTAGCAAGGAAAACAGCACAACAAAATGGAAGCTTATTCAGCGACTCCACAATGGAACAACTGGGGTCTGGTCTTATTACGCCTTTCTTTTGGTAGGACTGAGACTGTCCACAGGCTACAACTGATTCCTCTTTAGAACAGTCCTCCAAAGGCTCACTTACCCATTTTTGAAAGTGGATAAAACACTGCTTTTCAGATGCTTGCTTTTTTCACCCTGTCAACAGTCCTAAAAAAGACTTTCCCACTACTTACCCTAAGTAAGGGATTCCTCAAAGGACTAGAGTTAATGGCACTTGTTTCTTATCTCACAAGACATGGAACACACTCCAGTTCTCTGTACAACATAATATTCCACGTTTCCAGTGCCTGATTTTCTATTGCCATGTACTATATTATTTACTCACATCAGCACAAAGGGAGGGTAAAAGGCTGCCATTGCAGTGCAGTCCCTCTGGAAACATGACATTCTAGGATAAAAGACAACACTACACACTGGGAAGAACAGAATAGTCCTTTAATTACAATAATGAAATTATGTGTGATTTTGTTATTTTTTTTCATAGAAAACAGAAGGTCTTCAGACTGGAACAATAAGGCTGAATAGCACAAGAGACTAAAAACAGGTGAAGTAAGCAATTCAATTTGATAACACTGTGAAATCAATTGTAGAGATTTGTCCCCAGCTATCTGAGAAACATCATTTGTTCAATTTTGTGACTTCATGGGCATGTTTTTCAGTTGTTTTCTTCTTTCTTTTTCTCTACCGAAAAACTTTACATATCCATTTATAGGAAGAAGATTGCCTCAGTGCTTGCATAGTCTTTTGGCTTTTGGCATAGCATCAGACATAAGCCCTCATCCGGCTCTTATTTTCTTTCTTGACCTCACCAAAATTTGACTGCTCTATAGCTCACATTTCCAGCTTGGTATTATGATGTTTGAGATGCCAGCTGGCAACAAAACTTCACAGGCACCTGAAGTATGAAATAAATATTTCTTGTTCATTCTAATTTCTCAGCATTGTGTTAGACCTCCTGGTTTTCCCCTAAGTTTCTCCCTAAGGTCCCTAAATTGCAATCATCCTCAAAAAAAAAAAAAAAAAAAAAAGGTCACCCATCTCCATTCAATCTCGAGGACTGAACTTTAACCACCAACTGTCCAAGATCTTGTTCTTAACAAGGCTCCCTGCCTGGTCTACGCCTCCTTTCTTCTTCAGGTTCAACAATAGCCATTAACTCTATTCTGCAGTAGCTTTCTAGATCAGAGTTTTTGCAACTGCCTTTAATTGGCCACCACTTTTTACAGAAGTGGCCAAGTGACTCCTCTGTTTTCTTTGGCTCTGTTTGGAGCTTCCTCGTGTACACAGTGCTCTCCTGCGATATTTGTGTACTGCGAGGGCCTGGAAACTGCATCCTGGCTTGTCTACATCAGGAACTAAAGGTATCAGAAAACAATAATTTCCTGTAAAGTGGACGACAATGTGAACTTGAGAGCACACCTGTAACTTTGTTATAGTGTCCACATGTAAACTCTTACCACATGTTAAATGAGAGATGGCTTACTGTGAAAGAGAGAAATAAATGATGACTTCTTTTTATAAGCCAAAATGGTGGTAGATTAAAGATGGTAAAAGTTGCTTGCCATAAGCTATCTGGTGTTTTGGTGTGGAGTAAGAATTTGTTTGTGGCAAGTAACTACAGAACAGCTCTTTGGTTACATTTCTGTTTAATGCCCTCTCTTGTAGAACTAATATGCTCTAAACATCCTGTTGTTATTTTAGACATCTAACTTTTCATTGGCATATTCTATCCAGCAATAAATTTTCCCATAGTGAATTATAGAGATGTAACTATACTAGAATTGCCCTGACAGTAGGAAAAGTTTCTCTTTGCTAGGTCAGGCAACTATACTATATAACTGAAAAAAAAACTGGTAAAACATCTACCTATTCTCCATCAGGTTATAGGCTTTGTTACCTTTTTCTTAAGAGCTTTCCCTAATTCATATAGTTAAATGTCAAAGCTAATAAAAATGAGCTCATAAAAAGCACACAGATAAAGTGAACACTCCTTGAAATCATTTAAAGACCAAGAGGTGTTACAGGTTGCAAGATCTGGGGCTTATGCAAGATCATCTCTCAATTTTTTTGACCTGTTTCTTCCAGAAGAGGATATGATACTATGCTCACTCCAGTCTGACTTGCAAACAAGGAAATCCAAATAATCCTCAAGCTGCTGATTCAATATGTGGTTCTGGAGAAAAGCATTTTTCAAATATGAAAGATTGTAAGTCCACTGGGAAAGCTCTTTTTCAGACTTCTGTCTCAACCAAAACAAAATTAAACCATTTCTCATAAGTCATGTTTTTTTAAGCTCTAACTTTTTGGTGCTCTCTCTCTGTACCTTTCTTCATAATCATACTGAGGCTGAGCACAGACTTGTTTTTCAGGACTCACCAGCACAGGTTTTTTTGCAATAGCATAGTTTTCCCCGTCCTTCACAGAAGAGCTCTAATTTTTTTCTGTTACACAGATAAATCTCCATTTATTTTAATGAATCTGATGACTCATTCCCAGTTGCAGCCCTTTACAATGAATTCCCTATTGCTGTTTCTAAACCTCCTCTTAAATGCATCCAATTTTATTTGTGGTTTTGTGTTCCAACAGGGCTTGTAAGCCTTCCAAGATCAGTATCATCTGAAATTTTATAAGTGTATCCTCCATTCTGTCACTTAAGCCATCAGTTAAAATATTGTTTAGGACAAAGAAGGACCTTGTATCATAGAATCATATGCTTTTTCTTGTGTTAGAGAATTATGTATTGATTTTCAAAACACACATATTCAATTTGTAAAGTTGCTATTATTATAACTACCCAGAATTTCCACAGCATCACTGAAGATATAGCAGTTGACTAGCTGGACTTCTTCAAGGTCACTTGGTTCATCAGGGACTCATCTTACAATGTAGGTTATGCCATCCTCAATAGCTGTCAAATGATTCATGTATAATAAGCATAGCTTTCTCAAGTTTCTGACACCTTCAGCTATGAATGGAATGGAGAAAAAAAAACAGGTCATGTTGTTAGGTGAACTATTTTGGTATGTTTATAATATCTTGATCACAGCAAACAGCTAGACAGAATTAGATGTTTACTGCCTCACATACTACAACTATAGTTTGATGCCATGAAATATATGGTAGATGTTGTTTGCAGAAATGATAAACACAACCTACTGATCAGCTACTATATCATGTAATCAATATAAACTACCCCTCAGCCCAGAGAAAGTAACTCATAGAAGATCAATAGGATCTTCTTGTGGAACAAATCCAGGAGAAGCATTTTTTCCATGCCGTCAAAGGTAGACATACGAATTGCTATTTCCATTTCAGTTACTAGATTGTGTGGCACTAGCAAACATTATTCAAACTTTTCAACCTTGGTATCCAGTGACTGACCTCACAGAAGGTCAGCAATAGGTCAGGTGAAGGAACTTTTGCAATCTGACTAGCAGTTCACGCAGATTAGCCTGTTCTGGGGCCAGTCTGTCAGATTTGTTTGACTACAGTATGCATTACTAACTTGAAGGAGCACTCTGATACTTTGTGGCATTTAGGATACAGCACATATCACGACTTCAGTGCAAATGTGTAAGAAATTACTTTTCTAAATGAGATAAAGGTATTTTCAAATTGAAATAGTGTGCAAACTTTGGAGGTTGTTAAAACACCACATTCTCAGCACTATATACTTTATTAAGGTGTGAGCTAAGAGAGAGTAAGCAGTAAAGTGTTGTAGTGCTTGTCAAACACTGTCTCCGTATTATCTGAAGTTTTCCGCTCTGCAAGTTTCCTCCCCGTACAATTACTTAATATCTTGTTTGCCTAAAGGGTAAGTTGTGCAATGCCTTCCTGTTGCCAGAAACATACAGAACTGTTTCTTGATGTAAAGCAAGTTCCAGTTCATAACTATTTGAAATTTTATGATACAGCAGTTATCAAAAACCTGGCTTTCTGTCTAGAGTTGATGGTCAAGTTAGTAGATATTTCTGCTACCAGTAGGAAGGAGTGTATCTACAATGCATTTACTTCATTTATTCTTTAATGGTTTCACTGAAATATGGTGACTTTAATTCACAATTAAGATGTTTACTGTGGGACTCTGATATCTAGACTAAACCAGAGAGTCTTTCCCTTTTTCCTTTCTCTTTCTACTATACAATAAGCCAGAGGGAAAGTAAATCGTCCCACTGGTGGTAGGAGTGAAGCCAGCATTTGCCAACAGCTAAGATACATGGACAGGTGGTTATGTGCAAAGAGCTACAAGACAACCTAAACTTCAGCAGATCAACCAGAGCATTACATGTAATCTGGGCCTTAATCAGCAAAGGTCATTTCTAAAGTGTGCAGAAAATGCAGAAAATGCTGAGAAATCTAGTAGCAGTGTATGGGAGAAACAGCGTTACTCAACTGATTTCAAACACTATTTTGTTTTGTTTTCAGAATCCCATCCTAAACTGGAAGCCCAGACAAGGTCTGATCTGGCAACAGCTGTACTAGAGGGCCCTCCGCTGGCACAGCCCAGGCAGAGGACAATGAGTTGTTCATTTGTAGAGTCTGAAGGGGAGGGGAAGGGAAGGGGGCTGAAAGGAGGGGGATGACAGCCAAATGCTAATATTTGAGCAAATGCTGAGAAAAATACAGAGTGGCTGGATCAAGTGTATTCTCGATCCTTCACTGCTTGCGTAGGACAGGGCATCAGGAGGAGCAACTCTTGAAAATCTACTTGCTGTTCTTATTTTAGCTAAGTTTAGGCAGAACATCTTTCCTTTGTCTCCTTCAGGGTCTCTTCTTTGTGAAATTCCATCTGATCTCAGCTGGTCAAAAAGTCCCTAGAAAAGGAAATAATTGAAGGAAGTTTCCTTATATTATCAAAATCATGTTTAAAAAGTAGTTAATAAATAATTAATGTCTTTATAAACAGTCTATTGAAAGCAGAGAAATCAAATGACTGCGTTCATACAGAGATCATAGTCAGAATCACAGACAATGAGAAAATACAGAAAATGTTTCCAAATAGCGAACAAGATCTTGTCTTTGCTAGGCATCAGCAGTGTCACAAAACTGTCATCTCCTTTACATCAACCTACATGTAATTTATTTATACTTAGAAGATGATACAGCACATACATAACATGGGGTCCAGTGCATGAAACCATGAAACAAGGAGGGACAGAACGAGTCACCCAGCCTATCATGCAATCTCATTTGTCACTGCTCCTCTTTAATAAAATATGCATTTGTGACTCATCTTATTACATAATATTCTGTCATTAACTATCATTGTCTCAAATTTCCTCTTCAAAGCTGATAGTGTGACATTTCATCACTTTCTTTTTCTCTCCTCCTACCCTTTTTCAGTGCCCTGGGGCCTACTCCTCATGTTATCAAGAGGTACCCTACTTTTGTCCCCCACAATTCCAAGTCTTATTCTAGCAGTGTATGTTGCTGGTCCTGTTAGGAGATAGGTACCAAACTCCTTTAAAACACTACTTCAATAAATAAGAATTGCAATGAAGCAAATTGCAATGAAAGGTTTGCCTAAAGTGCAAGCAATTCCTTGACATAGCATTCTTTGTTGTCATCACTATATGTAGTTAAGTAAAAAAATAAAATCAAGCAAGCAAATGAAAAAAACTAAGAAAGGAGTCTGGGCTCTACAAGGGATCTGGACAGGCCAGATTCATGGGCCAAGGCCAGTTGTAAGAGGTTCAACAAGGTGAAGTGCTGAATCCTGCACTTGGGTAACAACAACCCCATGCTCTGCCCCCTGACGGTCTTGAGGCAGAGCGGCTGAAAAGCTGCCTGGTAGAAGAGGACTTGGTGGTGCTGATCAACAGCAACTGAACATGAGTCAGCAGTGTGACCAGGTGGCCAAAAAGGCCAATGGCATTCTGGCCTGTATGAGAAGTAGTGCGGCCAGCAGGACCAGGGAAGTGATTGTCCCCCTGTACTTGGCACTGGCGAGGCCACATTTCAAGTCCTGTGTCCAGTTTTGGGCCCCTCACTACAAGAAGGACATTGAGGTGCTGGAGCACATCCAGAGAAGGGAAACAGAGCTGGTGAAGGGTCTGGAGCGCAAGTCCTGTGAGGAGCAGTTGATGGAGGCAGGATTGTTTAGCTTGGAGAAAAGGAAGCTCGGGGGGGACTTTACTGCTCTCTACAACTATGTGAAAGGAGGTTGTAGTGAGGTGGAGGTCAGCCTCTTCTCACAGGTAACAAGTGACAGGACGAGAGGAAATGGCCTCAAGTTGCTCCAGCGGAGATTTAGATTGGCTACTAGGAAGAATGTCTTCACTGAAAGGGTGGTTAGGCATTGGAACAAGACACCTATGGAAATGGTGGAGTCACTGTCCCTGAAGTGTCCAAGAACTGTGTAGATGTGACAGTTAGGGACATGGTTTAGCGGTGGACTTAGTAGTGTTAAGTTAATGATTAAACTTGATCTTAAGGGTCTTTTCCAATCTTAATGATTCCATGATCCTGTGATTTCATGAGTCTAAATTTGTCCAAGAACAGAAGTGTTTGGTATCCTCTGGATGGTGCAGTTTCTATAAGCGTCCAAGACACCCCAGAAATAACAGGGAACAGTACATTCATACGAGTGTAGGGAAATACAATTGAATATCTCAAGTTGGAAGGGATCCGCGTGGATGATCAAGTCCAACTTGTTCCTCCTCGCAGGATTACCTACAAATAAACTATATTTCTAAGAGTAACATCCAAAAGCTCCTTGAACTCTGACAGGCTCGCTGTAATTGAGTAAAGAGGAAGAGATGTTAGAAACTGAAGGAAACCTATTGCAAAGGTCTTGTAACAAAGAAGTTTCACAAGAAAATGAGCTGTTCTTACCATATGTCTTGTTTGCTTAACATTTTAAAGGGAAAATCTGATCTGTAGGGGCATTTTGTACTATCAAGACAGTTTTCAATTTACAAATAAGATACATACAATTATAGGGGATTTTTTTTCTGCTGCTGCAGGGAAAACTGTTGCAGATGGTGGCAAATGCAGGGTCCTGCACCTGGTGAGGAATAACGCCCTGCACCAGTGCAGGCTGGGAGACAACCTACTGGAAAGCAGCTCTATGGAGAAGGACCTGGAGATCCTAGCGGACAAGCTGTCTATGAGCCAGCAGTGTGCCCTTGCAGCCAAGAATGCCAATGGTATCCTGGGGTATATTAGGAAGAGCACTGCCAGCAGGTCGAGGAAGGTGATCCTGCCCCTCCACTCAGCCCTGATGAGGCACATCTGGAGTGCTGTGTCCAGTTCTGGAATCCTCAGTACAAGAGAGATATGGAGCTTCTGGACTGCGTCCAGCAAAGGGCTATGAAAATGACTGGTGGACTGGAGCATCTCTCTTACAAGAAAAGGCTGAGACAGCTGTGCCTGTTCAGCCTCAAGAAGAGACAACTGAGAGGGGATCTCATCAATGTCTGCAAGTATCTGAAGGGAGGGTGTCAAGAGGATGGAGCCGGGCTCTTGTCAGTTATTGTTTTATATTATTGCTCCTGCCAAGCAATAGGACCAGGGGAAAAGGGGAGAAATTGATGCACAGGAAGCTCCATCTGAACATGAGGAAGAATTTCTTTAGTGTGCGGGTGACCAAGCAGTGCAACAGGCAGGTATTGCACGATTCTGTGCAATCTGGTCTAGGATGATCCTGCTTGAGCAGGGACATTGGACCATTATGTCCCACTGTGGTCCCTTCCAACCTTACCCATTCTGGGACTCTGGGAGGTGCCTCAGATGCCGAGTTTCTGCTGTCAGCCTTCAGATCAGTTCTGGAAGGTCAGACTGGATGCAAACATCTGGCCTCAGGTCTTTGACACTGCCCCTGACGATGACAGCAGTTCTTGCACTGAAGCAGCAGCAGGGCCAGTGCTGCCCCATCAGTCCTCCAGAGCCTCTGGTGCAAGGTGGCTGTTTCATGTTTAGAAGCTGGCCTCCCCTTGGAGCAGCATCTGCTGGAGGAACTTTTTTTTTTTTTTTGGTGGCAGGGTTGGGATGTTGAAAGTAGCAAACATCCAGGGCATACCATTTTTGCTGGATGGCGGTGTTGGAACACGGAGCCGGCAAACGGTGGCGACGTATGTCAGGGCTGTAGTCCCTGCTCCCTATCCCACCACGGCATCTGTGCGTTGCCCAGGAGGCTCTGCACGGCTCTAGGGATGGATTCAATGTCACCGGGGGGCAGGAGGGAGGGGAGGAGGGAGGGAAGGAAGGAAGGAAAGAAGGAAGGAAAAGAAAGAAGGGAAGGAATGAAAAGAGGAAGGGAAGGAAGGAAAAGAGGAAGGGAGGGAGGGGGGAAACAGCCGTGTGTCGTCCCATCAGGAGGAGCCTCACATCGGGGTGGAAGTGACCTCACTGCCCGGGACAGCCGGATCCAGTGAGCGCTGGAGCCCCGCCGGCCAGTGCGGGCGCGCCTTGCGAGCAGCCAATGGCAGGGGCGGCGCCGCTTGTTGTCGCCCCGTGAGGCGGCTGCGCCGTGGGCTCGGTGCCGCCGCCGCCGCCGCCGCAGGAGGGACCCGGGAGGCCCCAGGCCCCGGTGCCCGCTCGCCCCTCGCCGCCCTCACCGGCCCCGCAGCCCCCGCGGAGGGCGGGGAGATGCAGCCCCCGGGCGCTCAGCAGCCGCCGCTCTACGCGCCCAGCAGCGGGGACTTCACCTTCGTCTCCTCGGCGGACGCCGAAGGTGAGCGCGGGGCCGCGGGTCGGGCCTCGCTCGCTGTCCGGAGAGAAGGGCTCGGCGGGGCCCCGCGTCGGCGGGCGGCTGCCGGGCCGCCGAGGCGGGAGGGGCCTTCCCTGCCCTCCTCCCCGCCGCCTCCTGGGTTGGTGTCGTGGCTGGAGGCGGAGCGGGGTGGCCGAGGTGGCCGCTGCCCTCGGGCCGCTGCGGCGGGTGCGACCCGCTGTCGTGTGCTCCGCGTCACGGTAGCACCAGCGTGGCACAGGCGGCCGGGGCACCCCGTGTGTCCCGTTCTCCGAGAGCCGGGGCCGAGGCTGTGCCCAGACCTGACACAGCCGTGCCCAGCGCTGTCACTGACCGCTCCTCCCGCTCCCCCGCGGTGCTGGAAAATCACTTCGGTGTCTGTCGAAGATTGTGTCCTGTGTTCACGTTTGCTGTAATGCTGTGCCGAGGTGCCTGCGTCGTGTCTCGTTTCAGCACCGTCATAAGGGAGAAAAAGAAGCCCTGTGTGTAATTTAGGGGGTGAAGTGTGGCCCGCTGCCGAACTGCTGCGCAAATAGCAGTGGTGCACCAGGATGCCATGTACATCAAAACTGAACATATGGGAGTCAACACTGGGCAAACTTATTTTGGTGGAGAGTGATCTGTTGGGCTCTCCCCATTTAAATAACAAGCATTCTGCTTTTATGTATGTATTTAGTTACTCATACAATTGTGACTAGGGAATCACGTAAATCCTTGCTCATGTGTCCCACCCTGGAAAAGAATTGCTGAAGTGGAGGAATTACTGTAGAATACCTGTTCTTTGCTGCATTTCCCAGTCCTTCTGAAAACAAATACAAATCAACAGTTACAGTTGTGGCCGTTGGGTTTTTTGTTGCTGTTTTGTTTGGTTTGTTTTTTCTTCTTCTTCACCTTGGCTTGAAAAAGCATCCATGTACCTTTGCCTTCCCCTTGGAAGTATTTGTTGGGCAATGCTGAACCCAATCCAGTATGGCCACCTTTCTGGTAGGTTGTGCTGAATCTGACTTGGCTCTGTGTTCCTTATGAACACAAACAAGGTGTGATCTCCTGCCCGTTCAAGTGTAGTCCTGTGTGCTGCACATACCTACTGTAGCAAAGGAAGACATAAGACATAAACAGCTTGATATTACAAAACTAAAGTACAGCACATTGCACTCCAATTTTTATGTTTCCTAAATCTTGATACATATGAAAAAAATAAAAATATAAACTGTTCTTTCTCCCCATTTTATTTCCATGAGAGGTAGGAGCTGTCAGAATGCTGGAGAGGTGTTCTCAATTAAGTGGACAGATACGGTATGAAGAACAGACTGCTTGTGGTTTTGCCTCTTGTACTGTTTTTTAAAAATTAAGAGCCAAGACTGTTTTGAAAACTGGTTTTTCACAATGTGTGATTGAAATGAGGCAGCTGAGAGACTTAGGTTTTGCTTCTGTGGTCTTGAGCCTGAGACAGCAGGAGTGAAGGCACCCAGAGTCTCACTAGGACGCATCAGAGCCCTCAGTTCTTGGCAGATTTTTCGGTGCCCAATTCCCTTCTGTTATTCAGCTCATTCAAAGCAGCCTATACAAGAGGAGGTGACCGATTTCCCCCCCCCCCCTTGGTTTCTGCAGCTTCATGTCTTGCAAAATAGACTTAAGATCGTGTTCATAGGTTTCACAGTTCAAAAGTGTACTTGCAGGTATCCACTGATCATTGACTGCTAAAAGGAGTCTTGGTAAATAAGGTTAGTGTTGGAGTTTTCCTTCCTCAGGATGGATTGTTAGCTGTCCCTGAGAAAGGAGAAATAAATGGCTGCTTGGATGTTGTGTTTCCTTTGTTTGACAGCTGCATTTATGCACAGAGAGCAAGAATGTCTCCTTGCAGAAAGTGTTGTATTGTAGCAGAAACAAATATTTTTAAATGACAAAGGGGTCCTAGTGACAAAGAGAAAACTTCTGAGGCTTTCTCTACCTTAATGCCCAGCCATTAAGACTTGTTTTTTCCTCCCTCTGTAAACAGCAGAGAAAGGTTTTGCTTGAGTCTGGTGAGTACTCTCATGATTATGAAATGATTGAAAACCATTTGTGGAGAAGCTTAAATTTAAGCTTTAGTGGCCTAGCAAGCTGATTTGGGAAGGAGAATTCTGATTAATTGATATAGTGAGTGATCAGTGAACACTTAAGACATGTTGGCTGAAGACTGTGCGAGATTCTGTCATATACAAATTCTGTTTCTATAAAACTGTGTTGCATTTTTAAAGAAGATGTCACAAATGTAATCTGTGACTATGGCCTGACTTACCTCTGTGAGTACATGTTTCAGAAGTACTTGCTCTATAGCTGGGTATTTTGGGAAATTTGTGCCGAGGAACTTTTACATGTGAAAAACACACAACAATGGAAAGGCAAAAAAAGATTTTCTGTGGTGAGGTGAAAAGTTGTTGGATGAGAAGAGAGTTTCTGTCTCTCATTATATTTGTAATAAGCCTTGTACAAAAAATTAGCATGTTTCTGTTTGTATTTTTCCTTTTTAGCAGATAATGGAAATCCATGGTTTCCTAAAGGAATAATTATTCCCCTCTTATATATTTTTTTCTTTCTTCAAGTCATTTCATTTATTTTCTGATACTATTTTGTACATTTCATCTGTATATAACTGAATAAAATGAGCAAACAAAATTAATATTTATTGGCGATTTTGGCACAACCAGAACATAGATAAATTGCTCTTTGTTTTGTTTACTACTGTGGCAGAGCAAGATCATAGTATATTGAGGAGAACTCCTTGTATTTCTTTTTGGCTGGAGCCTAAGAATCTCTGACAATATTCTTTCTCTAACATTTTCAGCTATATTACAGGCATGCTACAAATGAAGACATCTTCAGATATATTCCTTTTATGAAAAATTTCACATAGGAACAGGGAGTTCTTTTGCCTGAAACAATGCCACTATGCAAAAGTATGCTCCAAAGGAGGTAGAATATGTCAGAAAAAATAATCCACGGTTTACAGCATGTTGAGACTATTAGTTACTTCCTTTTGTGCCTTTAAACACTTAATGATACAGCACAAGTGGAAGCCTTTCTGTCATACCATAACACTGTGTCATAAAACAAGATTCCCATCTAAAAGCTAAAGCCTGGTAATTTGAGACCTAACCCAACAGTGGTACTATTGCATTAAAACCACAAGTATGCTTTCCAATTATGTATCTGTTAAAGTATAATTTTATTCTGTAACTTTGAGTATTTCATGGTGATGACCAACACATGTAGCTTTGTATGTATATTGTTTATCTTCCAGTACTTTTGAAATCAAATGGCTTTTGGCAAGACATAAAAAGATCTATATTTCTCTCCCTTTTTGTCTAAGATCTGAGTGGCTCCATAACAACTCCAGATGTTAAGTTAAATCTTGGAGGAGAATTCATCAAAGAATCTACTGCGACTACATTCCTAAGACAGAGAGGGTATGGCTGGCTTCTGGAAGTGGAAGATGATGACCCAGAAGATAACAAGCCACTCCTGTATGTTGTAATTTTTTGGGGGTATCTATCTTTATTAGCTCTATAGGAAAAACAATCAACTTGTAGCCTCTCGTTGTCCCACAGCCTTTTGCTGTAACTAGAATTCTGTGTGACAGAATTGACCAATGAGTGTTTGCTGGTGCGAGAATGAAAACATTATGTTTCTCATTATGTGTTTAGTGTAATGAGAGAGGCTTGTTATTCACTGTCAGGGAGGAAGGAAGGAGGAAGTAAAATCAAATGTTATTAATCTCTATAAGTATAAAGCTTTTGTGGGTCTTCTGCCTTTATCTGTTGATCCTGTAATGGTTTAAAAAATGAGATTGTATTCTTTCTATTTTTTGCACTCTTGTTGCAAGTTTCTTAATACTGTCAAGGAATCAAAGGCTAAGACAATCCTGTGGAAAGATTTCTCTTAAGTAAATCTAAGTCAATTCTGTCACTTACTCTGAAGCAAAAGCATCCTGAATCAAGGTTATTATAGTAGGGATGCTAGAACCAAGGTAGCACAAACTTTATAATCTTTGATGCTCTTTTATTGTAAAGCTAGATTAAAAGGATGCTAGTGTTGAAAGACAATAGTGTCCTGGAAACCGAAAATCTCTGCATCCCTTGTTCTGTACACAGAAGTGTGATTGGCTGAAGAAAGTTTGTATCTTAAGATTACTGCACTGCACAGTCAGGCAGCCTAGGTCTTAGTCCTTGTTCTGCACCTAAGCAACTTCGTTCTCAGTGTCTCCGTGTTTTTCTGTGTGAATTAAAGATAATGATGCTTTACAAAATTGAAGTGAGACAGAGAGTACTCTGGAGGACTCAGATGAGAGTTTGGGAGAGAAAGGGTGTCTGGAGAGCTTCATAACGACACTGCTACTTGAGAAGTACTTTAGTTTGAAGTGTGGGGAAATAGCTCCTTGTGTGAATAAGTCTGTTTTGTAGACTTCTAGCTTTTATTTAAGAAACAGACTGGTGTATTGAGGTGACAACATATGAATTCTGTCTTTTGTGTAACTTTTTGCACCACAAACCCCAA